TCGGTGCTGTGACAAGCTCACGCTCACACTGCTTCGTCCATGTCCGACCGACCTCCTACACGTGGGTCTCGGTGTCGATCGCTATCCCAATACCCCACCTTTGGGAGATCGCCCAGTACCAACAAACACATAGCCATGCATGACCCTGACAGAGCCTCCCATCGAACACACTCGTTCTTGCCCGCAAGCCTCTCTAATAGCATCTAAAAAAGGCTATCCACACTCACAGGAGACTCCCCACCTGCAAGACAAGCCTGTAGTTAGCAATGCTGTGAGGCCTGAGCATATACCCCAACTCGATTACTTCCACGATGTTACCATCACTCCCCAAACTAGTACGGCTGTTGGAGAGGACCTCATCTAAACGGTGAACTAACACACATATTCGATGTGCCGCTCCACTCACTGATGAGGTCATCTCTGTTAGAAAGGCCACTATGGAGAGCTGTGTACACTATAAGGGAGATCGACCGACACGATAGTGACGACGCAGAGACGGCCTTGTCGATTAGTCTGGTGATCAATAACAGATCTGAAGTGACCGACGATGGTAAGTGGTGGGTCAGGTCGCCCTACCCGGCGTGAATCCTTTAACTTCACGCTTGGCCAAGGTCACAGCACTAGCAGAGGCAGCCGCCATGCCTGGTGGTAAGGTATCACAGACTAGAGAGAGCTGACGACGACAACGACCATCGAACATACGCTACTGAGCAGTCCTCTCACCTGAGCTCCTATATATGCCCATCGTCCGAGGCGGTGGTCGCCCCTATCTAAAGTCCGCCGTATCGTACCTTCCACAAAGAACATCTCGCCGCTTCAAAAGAGCCTCCTCCTACTGCATAGTGCCTGCTGCTGCCCATCCCCACTAGGAACACTCTGAGGCCGAGCCATAGACCCCGTAACTATGGCGAAGTCCGCTGGTGCAGTAGGGCGGCGCCTCAACACCCGTAGACCAGCAGCAGGAGTGCCCGTCATTGTCGGAGACCGTAAAACACTACGACTATGGACGACGACCATAAAGTCAAAACCCAACACCATTATCAAAGTAATGATAACATAGCTGATATTCAGTAACTTATACGTCTGTACTGTTGCCTCTCTGACTGCTAGGAGATCCCCCTCCCAATGCACCACCGACACGCCATGGTGGCCTCTTGGCACCAGATTCTTCCAAGTCCACTACCGCGTCGCCTAAGGCACGATCGTAACAAACGACATACCGCCTATACGATATGGGCATCTACACCCTATACGACGGCATGTGACTCTATAAAGAGAACGTTGAACAACAACAACAATGGCTGTTCAAGCCACAACTTGCCGATATTCCCGCGCACTATCGACCTACAATAGTCCTACGATTCTTTATATACACTACGTGTCAAGTTGATATGCAAATGTGTGTTATTTTGTCGGATAAAATTAAAGTGAACAAGTTGTCGCTATCACCACACTCCCAAACGGGTACTTTCATCACAACACATGTTCATCGTTGTATGAGGCGATATAGTTCCAGATCGATTCTCATTAATCTCCAAGAATAACACACATTTGTCGATCAAATTAACACGCACTGCACTTGTACTAGATTATGAGAGCGACCCCACTTCCTACTATTCCGCTTCACCCCATGGGATGCCGTAGCCGATGGTGAGCTCGTGAGCCCAAGCCTGAAGGGGACAATCTCAAACACATCACCACTCCTCTACAATACCGCTCCAATGCCGCTTCCTCCTCATCCTCGCTATCAGCCTCCTTATCCGCGACCCCAGCCACCCCCGAGGAAGTTCCTCTAGCGCTCAGAAGCTGACAGAGAAACGGTATCACCATTGACAGAGTGCCAAAACCACACCTGAGCCATATGGTCATTCTCCTTCTCCAAGGCAGCTAGACGATCCAGTAACTGCTTGAATGCCTCCGCCACCGAACTAGGGACCTCAGTGCCCCCCTCTGGACAGGACAACTGTATAGCCGTCCGAAGAACTCCATCTGATACAAAAACTGCCATAATAATACGACCAATAGGATGGCGATGTTGGACCACTACGCCCACGCTGAATGCAAAATGAGAGCAATCTCAACTAAGCATCGACCTACCCTCGGCACTGGCCTCATACTGCGATACGATCGATGCCCCAGTAGGAGGTAGAGGTAACGGTGGTGGCATCGGCATGGGCAGAGGATCTTCCTCCTGAGTACGTAAACCCATTACCACAACTGATACTTCGTCCATGATAAGAGATTAAGATACAGCAGAGGGCAAACTGTGATCGCATTGATATACGTATTAATGTCCTCATTTTCAGAGGAGACACCTTTATATACCGTAACACTCACATAGGAAATTTCAACTGTATTTCCCACCCAAAAATCACTACCGGAGTCGCCTTGCCGTCCCCTGCACTGCCCTCACTGTGCGCTGCTGCTGCTGACGACTCCCTCAGGATTTTACCATAGTTCACAGGTCTAATCCAGCTCAATTTCATACCGTCATCTGCCTTCTTCGGATGCAATAGATACCTACATACCACACTCTCAGCAAATCACACCTAGCTGTCATCCTTCCTACCGATTATGAAGGACCAGCAGGGCTTGCCTGATCGCCTTGTGCTCTCTAAACTTAACACAGATTCCTGTTAATCCCAGAGCCTCCGACTGAGGCTCTGTAAAGAGCAGGGTAGAGGACTGAAGCACAGAAGCAAACCATCAACGAGGAAGACCAAACCACTACTACTAATACTACCTGCACGCTGCCGAATAGGCCTAGGAAAGTGAGCCAATAGCTGCCAGGGTATAGAGGTAACGAACTCGACTTGGGAGTGAATTGGGG